AACGCCACGCTGCACGAAGAGCTATCTACATTACTTGGTCAGTTTGAGGAACAGGGGCCAAAAAATCAAGATATGCTCACAAAGCTTTAGAGCTTGCAGGCACCCAGGCACAAGACGAAATAAAATAAAAACCAAGACACAGGAGCACAGTGCAAGCACGTACTGGGTCTGGAGAATACTGATGAGGATTTAGGAAAAGGCAGGAGAGAGAGCAGAAGAGCTGCACATTAAGAAAAGGATAAGAAGAGAAGGAGGCAAGAAAGCAACCAGCAGTAAAAGCAAAGGAGATTTGAAGCAAAGAATAAGCAAAAGAGACAAAGAGCAGACGCGGCGCGGAAGCAGGAGCCCAGAGCAGCTGTGAGCACTCATGGTTTGCTCTTGCCACACTGTCACATTAACCGGAGCACAGAAAGACCTCAACCTCTTTGACCATGGTTTTTTCGACTGGCTATCATAACTTCATACGGCTGCACCTGTTCCTCTTCTACCTCAGAAAAAAAAATTGCCCAACAACTCAAAAATAATCGGAGTCCTCTATTAATATGTAAAAAGCCTCAGTAACTTGATCAGATGCCACTTAACATGGCATATCATCACACTACATAACAATCCCTGCTCTATTCTTGTGCAGTGACTGTGGAAATAAGAAGCATACAACAGCTGGTTTGTGTCCTCCCCCCAGCCCCTTTTCTGTTTCTTACAGCTTCGTGAAAATATTCAGTCAATCCCTAAAATGTCACTGGATGCTGGATTGTCCTCCGTAGCACGGCAGACTTGTAAAGCCGGTCATCTGGTTGGTGGTACTGCTGCAATTACTAAGCAGGGTGAAAACAGCAATCTATAGCTGAAGCCTTAACGCTAGCCAGGAATTAAGCTAGAAATTTTTACTGTCATCAAGAAAACAAGGTGGTTGTTATTGCTTATCATGTACCCTACTAATTACCTCTCCTGCTTTTATGAGAAACAGGCAAAACTCATGCAGTTAGCTTTCCAAGGAGCCGCTCCGTCCGCAGGCTGCCGGACGCATGCGGGGGTGCCACTCTCGCTTTGGGGAGCCCGGGGAGAGGGGCTGCCGCTCCGCTGGGAGCGATGCGCCAATGGGCTCCCAGCCCGAGTGCTCCCCGACACGGGCACCGGCTCAGATTTACTTCACAAGTCGTCCTCCGCTGGAGACAACTGAGGAAAGGCAGGTATCGGATGTCTCGGAGGAGGAATACCAGGCTGCTTTGTTGAAATTCAGAGCAATTACACTTTTGGTAACAATTACCAGCATCACCCACCGGCTGCCAAGTGAGGAGACTTGGCAGCTCCCTAACATCGCTTGCATTTATCATTTCCACTCCAATTAGTTGACAATACCAGGCAATTGGCTGAATAAACCCAAAAGTAAGGGAAGCTGAGCGAGCGCTACGTGGTCTGTGGGGATATCCATTAATGGAGCAATGAAGAGATGAAAGTAATTCAGAGACACATAAAGGATTCCTAGTGTCCATTCGGGTTTAGACTTTATGTTTTATCTTTTGCAATAGGGAGCTGTTGCCGCCGCCGAGTATGTTTTCAAATCTGATATGTGCTCACATATAATAAAAACCCCTTGAAAATGGGCTTTTAATGGGCTTATTCCAGCATGCCCACAAGCAGAACATAGGAACGGCTCGGTCTCTGAAACCAAATCTAAATTCAGCTCATCTTGGCGGAAACAGTTTTAGCCCTACGCTTCTAAGAGAGAACAGAGCAGTTAAGGCAGAGCGTACAGCTTGAGTAACAACACATTAAGATGAACACACCGTTTCAGGAATTGGGAACTACTGTCCCCCTTCTTCCACCTAGGGAATTAAAAAATTACACAAATTAAAACAAAATACTGTTTTCATGGTTCATTAGTCTGATGCTTTTCTACATTTTCTAACTGCTAAGTCTTTCACCAGTTGTATCGGCCTTGTAAAAATCAAGAGTCTACAAATAAAATTTTCCAGTAGTCCCGAGCTATTTCAGGGATGGGAAGACTACGATACTCTAAGATATTCCTATATTACTTAGATGCCTTTGTAAACTTTGTCCTACCTTTCATGCAGACACAAAAGCAGTCACGAGGAAAGGGCTCGAATGCATCAAATGCACAGATCAAACAGGGTGGAAGCATTAAACCAACTTCTAAAGATCATTAGTTCTAATCAGGATTTAAATCGGCACACAGAAATCTTTATTTAGGCCAACAGGCTAATTGTTTTTCTGCAGCAGTGCTCCTCTATAGAGGTTGATGCCTTTTGGTTGGTCGGTGTCGAAGTAGAATCATTTGTAGTCAAATACACCCTTTAAACACTGCACTGTTTTTTCCCTGACTGGAAGAAACGCTGCTACCTATAATCACCTAAAGGACTGTAGTTTACCACATTTCTATTCCAATTCTTCCACATTCCTCCCCCTTTCTAATCGATTCATATCAGCACTTCCATAA